GTTCATGGAAGAGATCCCCTGTACTTTGGGTTAAGTTGCTTATGGGAGAGTTGACAGATTTTATTCCATTGGCCTGATAGGACTAATGATCCTAAGTGCTTAGACAACAAGAAACCTCCTCCAGGAATTGTTCCTTCTGATATTAATGAACTATCAACATGCTTTCATTTTATTTTATATCAGACATGCCGCTACAAAAATATATAATAGTTAAAAATGCCATTTTGCATACTGCTTTTTTTTTCATGTAAGCTTGTCTGTAAGAATGACTCGTTATACCCATGAAAAGAGCTGCATGATGTGCTATTCATCAACTTGAACCATGGAAATTTGTATACTCTATCCATTTGCCTATGAACACAGCAGTGCTTAATTTATTTCCTGTTTTGTGGCATTCAGACGTCGACTTGTTTGTCCTAGCTTTACTTGTTAATGAATTTCTTAATGACCCAAAAAATCAGAGTGTTTACATGTATTTTGCAAGTGTGCAGTTGTGACTTAAGATTGGGCCCAGTTGTTCGAAGGCCGAAAAGAGCTAATTAACCCGGGGTTAAATTCAACCCGGGTTTCTTTTTCTTGTGACCAAAAACATTTTCTTGGATAATTTTTCATCAACTTGTAGACAAAAAGAATTACAACTGAAATGCTTTTTAAGAAATCTCAATTCAAATCTCACGCTTAACCCTGGGTTATCTTAAACCAGCTTTGAACAACTCAGCCCTGTATTCCCAACCCCACCTGCGAGTTTCTTGACCCAGTGACGACAAAACTGACACGATTGTATGCTAATTTCCATTGTCTTATAATTCTTACAAAGAGGAATATTAGTTATCATGCCCCAGCAAGACCAGCAAGGCTGAGCCTGACAACTAATATTATATGGTACTTTTTTAAAAATAGACTGTTAACAGTTCAGGTATGTAAAACCTTATGTACTTAAAGTTTATAAAGTTAACTTCTTGAACATGATTCTAATACAGATTCCCACTTGTAGCTATTTTAAGACCTCTCCGCTACAGTGTTGAACAATCATCATAACCCGAATCAAAGTTGAATTGTCTGTGAGACTGGCTTGTTGAATCACTATTCAGGGCTTACAAAAAACAAGTCAAACAACAAACCGGGGTCTTTTTAAATAATTAACTAGCTAGCCTTTTAAATGTGCTCAGCTGACAATGTAAATGAATAAATTTGGAGCCCTTATTTGTTTTTGTGTTCCTCACTCTCATTATTTACCAGACCCTGGTTGTTCAAACGTTGGATAGCGCTATCCACTCGATAACAATCACTATCCAGCAAATAAGTATCAGGGAAACCAATTGCGTTATCCACTAGATAGATTTTTATCCGGTGGGTAGTGTTATCCAACATTTGAACAACCGGGGCCTGGTGTTTAAAGACTGTCCTCGCACCCAGTCTCCCCCTATAAAGAAGCTGCACGATTAGAATAGTAGAGAGAGGACAAAGACTTCTTAATGTTACTTTTTCTTTTCAAGGGACAAAATAGGTAGTTTTTGCTCCAAAAATAATAAACTGTGCAAACTGGATTTCATATGTTAAATTATAGCCTTTTCACGTAAGTGTCACATGAAAACAACGCATTTACAAGAATGTCCCTGTCATGCTACCCATTAATTGCTATCAGTTAATGAAAACCAGGGACAAATGCTTGTTGTCCACCTACTTATAGCTGTATAAACCCTTTCAATTTGCTGTGGGCAATGTATGTGTGACATGTTGCATAACATGTTATTACGTCACTGATTCCCCTGAATGTGCAATTTTAGCATAGTTGTAAGAAAAACCATGTGCTTATGAATGAAGTTGTGATTCATAGTCCTGTTTCTGTTTCCGTTTTCTATCTAATTTATTGGGATAGCATATATATATTGATACAGCATGTGGTGTGTAAACTCAGAAGCTGTGCTTCTCTGACTACCATACACTCATCAGTTAACCCAAGGCCATTAATTTGTATTTTCTTTGTGTAATATTATATTTCAGCTGATTTTTTGTAAATTTAAGGAAATCTGCTTTCAGAGTGTACAAAAGAGAGAAGTGAAGCTGAAAGAAGGATTAAGTATATGTAACAACTTTGTCAAAATTAAATTCAGGTTAAAATTGTTTAACCTAGGTTGATTTTGCCTCCTAGCACCTAAATTATTCATGAATAATTGGGCGATAAAGTAAACTGAGAATTAACCCAGGTTAAAACATTTTATGCACATGATAATATGTTGTGTCCTTTCTGGATCATAAAGCAAATTTATAACTGACCACAAACGATCTTACACAGACTGGAGTACAAAAGGTTTTCCTTATTAACTAGGAGGCACCAGAAACATTTGGCATAGGTTGACATCAGGGCCCAGTCGTTCGAGGGCCGATTCGCGCTTAACCCCAGGTTTAATTTAACCCGGGTTTCTCTTTCTTGTGTTCAAAAGCATTTTCTCGGATAATTTTCTCTGTTCTATTTGGAGCTTTCAATCATCAACTTGTAGACAAAAAGAATTAAAACTGAAATGCTTTTCAAGCTTTCAAATCTGAATTCAAATCTCACACTAACCCTGGGTTATCTTAACCCTGATTTGAACAACTCGGCCTTTAATTTTAAAGAGTATTTTACAGTACCTGTTTTGAAGCCAGCTTGTACTGCACATGTATCTTTGAACCCCTAAAAGTGAGAAGTAACTAATTCCCCTTACAATATTGCAGCCTGTCAATCAAACAAGATGGCAATAAGCAAAATGATCACCAAGTAAAAAAATCCACGAGAATGATATTCATCCCTGGGTATTGTTATTCATGACATTATAGTAAGGTATGGGGAATTAATATGAACCGGGACAAGCCCAAGATAGACTGAATTGAATATAGGTAATCTGAAACCTGGCTTAAATATTACTCACTGGGGAGGGCAGGTGGGTCACCAATTGCCCTTTGCGTCACTGACAAAGTGAAGTGAATGGGACAAAGAGTGCCAATGTTTCCTATTATATAATATACTCATTTGTATATCATCAATCAATTCCCAAGGATGATTATTAATTTACAATTCAAATGAAACGTGAATAGTTATCTTCACAACAGTTCCAGCATAAGAGGAGATGCAATGACATGTCTCTTGAGGACTAAGAGTGTATGTGTATGTAGGCTGGGAAGGTGGGCAACAAGAAACTGAAATTCCTCTAGACTAACAGAAAGTACAAAAGCAATTTTTTGGAAAATGTTGAGAAAACGCTGAACAATTTGTTTCCAAATTTTTAAGAGGTGAAAGGGGGTGGAGAGTAGGGGTTCCCCATATTTTCATCAGAAATGGCATCCTGTCGATTTGCCCCTCTTTTCCACTGACCTCTGCTTTGTAGCATTTTCCATCAGAATTTACCCTTTTCATGGCAAATGATGCAGTCTTGATCATCATTGGGATATCAAATAATCTCTCATTTTGAAGACTGCACATGCTTTATGGAAATTTAGTTCAATTCACTATTAAAGAATGTTTCCAGTCAATTTACTTAACACGACTCAACACTGCTCAATACAAAATGTAATTAAAGAACGTTGTTACACTAGTCACAGACTCAGAAGCACTGGGCCCTTCATCTACCACAACAGGCCATTTGCACAAGGACACCATTTTACTACTACGACCAGAATCCTTCAGGGTTTTGCTTTCTTGCGCAAATTAAGGATTTTGTTATTCAAACCCACTGGGATTACAAAATTTAAATATGAAAGGAAATATCACAGGAAAAAATAACGGATTCCCATTTTTGGATATTTTAGGGTATTAATTTAAAGAATACCCACAAAAATCCCAGATTTGGAAGAGTGAGACAAGTCCCAATCAGGGAACTTAGTTGGGAATTCCCTGGTTGGGACTTGTCTCACTTTGCCAAATTTGGGATTTTTATGGGTATTCTTTAAATACCCTAAAATATCCAAAAATGGGAATCTGATATTTTTTCCTGTGAAAAACGAAATTTCAAAAGGATTCTGGTCGTAGTGGTAACATGACGCCACCGTGCAAATGGCCTGTAGTTAAATTTCAAGAGTCTTCGTCTATATTGAACTGTCGAAAATTCTCCCAACCCCTCGACTGTTTATATCAGCTATGCGAATAGAGGAAAAAAGTTTTCTACTGCTTTTATGTATATTAAGCTTAACTTTCCCGAGAAAAAAAAAGCAAAACGCTTTGTTATATGGCATCATGGTTAATTGAGTGGAATGGTTATGAAACCCGCCAGACTCCTTTGTTATATGTTTTTGTGGACCTGAAAGTGCACAACGTTCAAAAGAATTCCTATCATTTTGATTGTATTGACCAATAAAGACGTTGCATTAATTTATTCCGTAACAATTTGCCAACAGAAAACAAAGGATTGTGCACTTTCACGGTGCTTTGAACATAAACTGCAGGACTGTTGTTTTTATCACTGATGTTTGCCGCTTTTCATAACCAGTCTCCTCTAATAACTATGATGGCATGGATTAAAAGAGAAATTCTTACCAGTCGCGAAGTCGTACACCACTTTGCACGCGCAATCAGCTCTTGTTTTGTAAAAAAGATGCTTTCCAAAATGTCAGCTTAAGCGAAAAGAAAATTGACACAGCATTTTTGTACAGATTTTCCAAGTGTCAGCCTACGAGGGAACCTGTCTAGTTTGAGTGTTTAGCGCGCGAAAAGCTAAACATCTTAACGCCACAACCGTGTTTACATCCGGGGCTCTCCTGGCTAGTCTGAGAGTGCTTACTATCGATATCTTATTTCATAAAGCTATTTACTGAACAATTTGCCAAATCCATTTGCTAACACTGCGAAAGATGTTTATTCTCAAGAACCACACATTTTACAGGTATTAGTTCGTCAAACGTTTTTCTGACATTGAAGGTTGAACGCAGTCTCAGTCGACCGGAAGTCCGTGATTTGCGGGCGGAGTCCAGTATAAGCCGCAGGTAATTGTGTGACCTGGGTCACATAAAATATTCATGCATGGCAAAACAAAAGCAAGTGAACGTGATTTGCGCGGCTTTTATAATTAAGGGTTTCACTGTTCTGAATGTTTTCACTTCAATCGTGTAGAGTATGGAGAACGGAAAACAGGAACATAGCATTTCAGAGGAGGGTGATATGGCACAAAGCAAGCCAAAACAGCGAGGAGTCGGCTGTAACCCTTTTAAGAGAATAGATGAGAAATATTCCACTGAAAAATACGAGCTACCTTTGGTAGGTTTCAACCCCGAAGCCGCGAAGCAAAGACCCTCGTTTGTTTATGAAGATCCAGCTCTGGAGAGTAGTGAGGTCGTAACCCCTATATCACCTCATGCTTTAAAGTTGTTTGAAGCCATCCGAGAAGATGAAATGGAACTGGTTGAAGCGGAGCTTTCTACCCTAACAGATAAGCGCCAAATCGATAAATTAGGCGGACATGGGTTTGCCCTAATCCATGTCGCTGCTCGGTATAATTTCAGCAGAATAGTGACTAGACTACTAGATCATGGAGCGAAAATCAACGTGGGGACGAGTGACTATCGATGGACGCCTCTTCATCTAGCAGCCAGGTGTGTTGAAACATTTAAAACATTATATTCTACATGACATCTATTCTAACGTTTCAGAATTGCATATTATTTACACGAATCACTGAAATTATCGCTAGCTTCCGCAATCGAATGTGTGCAACAGATCGTTTGTTAAATAGTCTAACGCGTGAAGAATTTGTTTATTGCATTTGTTATTTTTAGGAAAGTAACCTTTATTGCTTTCTTTTGAAGCTGAAGGAGAAAACAATCCAATATTCCCCTCTCTCTGCTTTCACTTGAAATTTACATATTGTATGTTGTAATTGACAAATCAGATATTAAAGGCAAGTCATCACATTCTGTACTGTAACAATTTTCGTATTGTTTTGCGATACATTGGCTTTTTACCCTCAAAATTAAAAGCATCTCGATATCGAAACAGATCATTTTCAATCCTGCCTTGCTTAGATGAATTACGTGACTTCTATCTTAACAAATACACTATCAAGTGCTTTTATTGGATTAATTGATTTGCAAATATTTCTAAGTTTGACGGAAAGAAAGTCTCCGCGATTCAGTTTTGTCAGTTCTTTCACAAGCACAATATCGATGGTAATTTAAATCAAAATTTGAAGAAAGGAGGAAAAGCTTTGTTACGACTGATGAGAATGAAGCGTTAAGTGATCAGGGCGTGACTGTGAGGCTGTGGTTTAAAGTGTTAAGAAAAGTACCCAGTTTTCTGGAAAATGTCACCGTTGGGTGTAAAACAACCAAGCTGCCCTGAGAAAAAGACAGCGAAGACGAATTTTAGCGTTCACCAAAACAGTAAGCCCCCCGGGGGGGGGACTCATGGGAATTCTTGTTGGGGGTGTGCTGGCCGGTTCTCCAAATCCTGACCCTACTTCAGACCGAAAAATGTCAGTTTTTTCATCCGTTTTCAGACCTCGCCTCTAAAATCCACACTCATTCTCAGACCTAGCCTGGCTTTTAAGAAATTATGTCATCATTACTTAGATTAGAATAGCAACAAAAAAATTCTTAAACCATTTCGAATTCGCATATTTCTCTTTCTTTCTTATTCATTTTATAATTGAAATAAGTACACTCTTAGTTTCCTCGAAAACCATACCCGAATGAATTAACTGCAAAAACCGTGGACGAAGATCCTGATAGTTATAAACATTGGATCTCTAGAGAAGAGATCTAATCAGCCAAAATATTAAGAACATAAAACGAGAAGTCCAAAGACTACTGCAAAGCTGATCAGAAGAACTTGTTTTGTTTTTTCACAACAATATTTCGGCTCACCGTACCAGCCTTCTTCAGGCTTAGATGTTACTGCACTTATGATAGGAATGTGTTAAAAGTTAATTTTTTTTACGCTGCAGGTGAAACACGCTCCATCATTTCACACATTACTTGTAACACTAAAAACGTGATCTACATGGCAACCGTTGTAATTTACAATGTATAGGTGAAACTGAGTTACCCCTCAAGGACAGATTTAACGAACACAGACGACCAGTCCACAAAACTAACATTAAATCTGTTTCTGAACACTTTCTCTCTCACTCTAACCATTCTCATACTGACATGTAGTTAATCCCACTAGAGAAAATTTACTCTGCACGTGACTCAGTTCTTAAGGCTAGGGAGTAGCATTTGATAGATAAGGCTATGACTCTTGAACCTAACGGCCTAAACCGCCGTGACGAATTATTGTAATCCATATCCTTATCATTTTTTCTTTTCCAGTTTTTGTTTTGTACGTCATTTCCGCCTGTCCCTTTTAAACAATTTCTATTGCGACATTCTCCATCTATATAATATCCTGTTTCTTATCATAGGTTCAGTAACATCTGCAAACCTGAAGAAGGCTGGTATGGCCAGCCGAAATATTGTTATGAAAAAACAATACATGTTGTTCTGATCAGCTTTGCAGTAGTCTTTGGACTTCTCGTTTTTGGTTATTGGTAATGTGCAAATCTTCTCGATTTGAAGAAACTAGGCGCGCAATATGGTCCCGGTTAAATTTTCAGCAAGCGCGCGAAGTGGTCTTGGAAAATTCTGTTCTGCAAGCGCGCAAGGTGGTATTGGCAAATTCTGGAAACACGTCGTTGACTGGTCAGCATTAGATTCCATCCTCCAGAACCACCTTCCCCTTTTTGCTACACTTACATAAAATCTCAAAGTCTCTTAAAATTTCTACTCTTCTAATCTTTTTCCAAGTCTAAAAATGGGGCATAAGCGGGATTCGCATTTGCGGCCCTAGAAACCGAAATCCATCGCCTATACCACTAATCGACTGCAAGTTAAATTTTCGTTTTACATACTTATATTTAGTGACAAACCTAACAGTAAATGAAAGCTAACCATTTCGAGTCAGCGCTTAGCAAGAAGCCAATCGGAAAAAAAGTATATGAAAAATAGAACGACAAGAAAGAAAGAACGAACTTTTGTAAGAATCTAACCCCGCACATTTGTCTGCGAGAAATATTTCTTACGACGACGCTACGTGACGAAATGGATTTGACGGATTGTTTGACGTATGGATGCCTTGTATTGTAAGTATTGTTTAAAGTGTTTTCCCTTATAACTTCCTCCGGAAAGCTGCGTTTAAAGCTGATCGTCTCGTATTAAACACGAATTCAAAAATATGTGTCAGGAAAATAACCGGGCTTTTGACCGGGTAACACAAGCCACTCTTAACGATATGCCCAACAAAGCCGAAAAACTGGTCTGCGAAGTAGGACGTAAAACATATGTTTTTTTTACCTCGATTTTCGTTCCATGTTCTCATAAAAGTACTTCTGCCTTCGAAATCCATCGCTAAAGGAAATTATTAATATTATAATGAAAAATACACTAATAATAATAATAATAACAGTAATATAGCCTGCGAATGCAGCCGGTAGAGACGTTTCGCCAGGAGGAACGCCTACGCCTCGGCGAAGGAAATTTAATACTGATGACGTAAATAAATGTTAAAATTTGAATGAAGGTATGATCGTCGCAGTGGTAATTACAATTAAAGCAATTGCAAATTGACCCGAAAAAGATTTTGGGACTTCAACGGGATTCGAACCCGTGGCCTCTACGTTAGCGCTGCAGTGCTCTACCAAATTGAGCTACGAAGACCCAGACATTGAGAGCAGGCCAATTTGCCGAGCTCATCTAAACTGCTGAAAGGAATGAAACATGAAGATGGTGTGAATTGTGGAAATACAAATTTAAAAGAAGGTATATAGCGTCGCAGTGGTAATTGCAATCTAAGCAATTGCAAATTAGCCCCCCAAAAAATTTTCAGGATTTCAATGGGAAACAAACCCATGGCCTCTTCGTTAGCGCTGCAGTGCTATGAATACCCATACATTGAGAGCAGGCCACTTTGCCGAGCTCATCTAAACCCGTGAAAAGAATGAAACATGAAGATGATGTGAACTGTGGAAATACAAATTTAAATGAAGGTATGATCGACGCAGTGGTAATAGTTCACATAATAAATCCAGTGGTCATGGGGATCCAAATGTAAATTTGTTTGATTTTATGTTTCTCCTGGTCGATTATGGTTACGTTTTGTGTTTTACTGCGAACGAGCTCCAGCAAAACTCAAATTCTTTGTCTAAAGAATAATATATTCCAGGAATATTGACGGATTTATGACGTTCACGACCCCGTTTACATTTGACCTTTGTGGCATTTTTTCTTTTGTCTGTCATTTGTGAACAATGGATAAAACAATATAATTACTATGTCGACGAATCAGAGCTCCTGACCAGATTCCGGATAGATTTTACGGCATCAATATAGAATTTTCTGTTGATGCTCAACAAATTCTTGGAGGCGTCGAAGGCCTTCGGCCTGACCATCAGCCTCAGTGAGACCGAGGTACTTTACCAGCCTGCTCCAAACACCACACCCGTTGAGCCAAACATCAGCATCGATGACACGCCGCTGGCAAATGTCGACAGCTTCAACTACCTCGCCTGGACAGCATCATCTTAAACGATGGATTCCTGGATAAAGAAGTCACGTCCAGGATCAGCAAAGCAAGCCAAGCGCTATAGGGAGGCTGCGCACAAAGGTTCTCAATCACCATTACATTTGCCTCTCTACGAAGCGGAAAGTCTACAGAGCTATAGTCTTGACCGCTCTGCTGTGTGAATGCGAGTCTTGGACACTGTACCAAAGGCGTGTCAAACAGCTGGAGAACTTTCACTTGCGTGCCCTCCGTTCCATACTTGGCATACGTTGGCAAGACTGTATCACTAACCTAGAGGTCCTGGACCGTGCAGAGTGTATCGGCATTGAGGCCTTACTCATCAAGCTCAGCTGCGTTGGATGTGACATGTCATCAGAATGGACAATCCTCGCATGCCTCGCCAACTGCTGCATGGAGATCTTGAGGCTGGCAAGAGAAAGCAAAGCCGCCCGCGTAAGTGGTACAAGGACACTGGGAAGGGAAACCTTCAGTAGTGCGGCATCCAGCTGAAAGAACTTAAGGCTGCAGACAGTGACAGAAGTCAATCGTGCTCACTGACCCACCCAGCCACCACCAGTTTGGAGGACGACCGCCGTCAAAGACTGATAGAGACCTTAAGCGCAAGGACGGGAGACATTAGGACGGTGTACCGGAAGTCCATTTTCTGGTTCAGTCATGCGCAGAACGAAAGAAGTTGTCTGCAATCTTCCGTCATCCTCACGTCGACAAGGCCATTTTCACTGTTTTCACGTTGTGCGGGAACGTCGCTTCCCTTGCCAAACTTTTTCGTTTTGCACTTCGATTTACCAGATTTTTCGAAAGAATCGTCGGGAATCACCTTTCTGGTGTTCAGCGTTAAAGTATTTTGGAAGACAACTTAAGGACCACGACGACGACCGGAAGTGACTTACAGTGCACTGCGCAAGCGCGACCAGTAAATTTCGTCGTCGTGGTGTCGTCGACGACGCCAAACAAAGTAGAATCGCGTCGTCCTGCAATCCACAAGCTTCGGCAGGTATAAATCCACTGTTTTAAGCGATTTTTTAAGTCCTTTGCATTTTCTTATCCTCGTAAATCCAGGTATCGTTTCTTTTTTCTCCTAACAAGCGATGTTGATTGAAAATTCGACCAATGAATTGATTTTACTTCGAAGAATGGCAACAGCTGTGGAGGCCGAGCGAGCGAACTCGTAAGTGATAAATTTATTTTTAGGTAATTAGGTAAGGCAAATCATATATCTTTAATATAGAGGAAATAAACTTTTTAAGGAAAACAGCTATCACATCAGAATGTCTCTTTTTCGAAATCTAAACTCTGACAGACACTCGGACTCGGTCATCTCATTCAAGTTGAAAGTTGAATAATTTCGTACGCAAAGTAGGTGTTTTTCCGCTCGAAAAGGTCAGACAACACAAAAATTCTTCATCGTCAATGAAATTAGACGTACGGCTTAAAAAATAAGATCTGGCATTGTTTTAACAGACGCCAGTGCGAAAAACTTTGTTGCGAACGAACATCACCGTTTTACATTTCCGTTTGCATTCAGTGTCGTAATCGTCGACCTACCGACCGTCTGCATCTTAAGTTTCCTTTTTCCCGCCGAAACTGACGTTCTCGTCCCAGTCTTTTCCCGGTCAACAGACGTCGTCGTCGTGAACTTCGTCATGGTTCTTAAGTTCCCTATTTTAAGATCAACCTCGTTCCTGAAGCAGAGAAAGCCTCAAGCTTAAATAAACCGTCTCGTTAAGCTAAGATCCCTAATGTTTATATTTTCATGCCGATCGCTCTTTTCTTTGCAGAGCAAATAGAGTATTCTTTACAGCAGATGATGTAAAAGCAAAATCTGTCATAGGAATAATACTTTGTGTAAAGTCATTTGCTTTAATTTTCCGGAGAAATATCTGGATAAAAAACAGGAAAATTATGAAGCTTCAGTAATTATTTGTCCTCTACCGTCAGAAATAATGTCAAGGGTGTTTAGTTCACTAAAGAGAACAATGACAAGAAACTTGCAGAGTGACGGGTGGCTTTCAAGCAAATTCTCGTTGATGTACAAGGTATATTTATGCTTTCAAAGGGCATGCATGAATTTATATATGCCCTTTGCTTTAAAATTAATTCCAAATGCAACGAGTATCGTCTCCTTCTCGTCGCAACTGCTCTAGCATTTCTCTAGTCGTAAACTTGTTTTGTCTTGCCTTTATTTTACTTGTTTTCCTTTTGCTTTGCTTGTTTAGTTCTGTTTTATCTGCTTTTGCAAAAGACGCGCTAGTAGAGCGCGACGCTAGTCTCTCCCCAGACTTCGCACGGATTTCCCGTCGCCGTCGTCTCTTCGGGCGCGATCCATTCAACCAAAATTCCAACCGGTCCGACCGGGAAAAGTGGTCCACCTCAAAAGGTGGACCCGTTTTTTCGAAACTTTTCCGGTTGGACCGAACCGATCCATTGAGTTTTGGACCGAAATTTCCGGAAATTTTGGTTGAATGGATCGCGCCCTTCCTGTCCTGGGCCCGGTTGCATAACACCTGCACTTAAGTAGGTCACTTAAGAATCCGTTATGGGTACGCTTATGGGTGTTCCATGGAACGCACTTAGCACTCTCGTAAGTTTCTGTTTTACGTGGTAACTTACGGGCTCACTTAAGGGCACAGGTAACTTTGATATAGGACTGTATTAGTGACTCACTCTATTAATGGGTGTAAAGAAATTAGCTGGTCGTTTCGAACTCTTTTAAGCCTCTGGTAGATGATTAGGGAAACTCAGCCGGTTGAGATAACGTTTTATATAAACTGAAAAAAGTGTGTCATTATTTAACAAAAAAAATCGACCGAGAAGTTTCGACATGATAAAAAATAGTTTATTTAAGGTAATATCTGCATAGGTTCTAAACTACTCGTCAATGTTAAGTTTCGTCTAAACAACTGCAACTTAAGATCAAGCAGTTGTTCCTTCCTTTTTAGAATTCTCATTTTAACTTCATGCTCTTCTGTTAAATGCTCTTCATATACCTTCTCAATGTCCCTTTCTCTATGTCGTTGTTCCCTAACAGTGTCGGAATTACAGTTTGGTTCTTTTGTTTGCTCTTCCCTTAAACGGCTTTCTTCTTGCTTGTTCTCTGAAGTTTCCTTGCCACTTTTCAATTCAACCATCCTATCTGGGCGCACTGGAAGGTACGAAGAAGTTGACGATAGGCTGTCTTTCTCACTGGTGTCACTTGAAGCATCAAGGGTGTGTTCACTGGCTTGGATTTTATACGAGGGAGGGATTTTCTTTTCCGAGTATCTCGGTGATTAGTTCGTCAACGTCAGTCCACTCTATTGCACCACCCCCAGTTTACTTTCGTTTGGCGTATTTGGCTTTAGTGGCTGACAACAAGCTCTCCCATTTCTTTTTAAGTTGTTCTTTAGTTCTTTGGGGGAACCCGGCGGCTACTAACTGGTTACGAACCTCCAACCATGTTTGCATCTTCAATATAAATGTCAGTGTAGGAGACAAAGTACCGAATAGAGTCATCTTTCTCTTTTTGACATAGAGAAAAAATTTGACTTCATCCGTCTTAAAATTCGGCGTTTGTTTCCTGGCGTTAGAGCCTTGTCGTCTTGGCTACCAAGACGACATCAATGAAACTGAAGAGGGTCGACAAAAACGCGAGAAATTTGTTCGTTTGTTTTTTTCATAATCCTTATAATCCATTGAAGCTGATAACAGTTTTTGAATATTTTTAGATCATTCAGCAAAGAAGATTGACATTTTACTGAATATCCTTTGAGTGAAGTCCGTTGACTTTCGTTGAAATACGTTTGCAAGCCATCGTTATTATACTGCAATATTTACTGATAATGTTTGTTGCATGTTCTACTTTTTCCTCAAGGACGGCTTTAAATAAAGTGAACATCAGAGGTTAACAAAGTGCATTACAGGGGAATTACGTAAATAAAAAACTTTTTTTCACTTCTCTGTAAAACATCTCGTTAACTTTAGTAAAAACAGTAAGGATACGAGACCCACATAGGTCCCATAAATTTACGTGCTATTTGTCTCGTAAAAAACGTTTTATGTAACACCCGCAATTTCTGTTGCATAAATGACACGTGGGTGGATACTTACGAAAATCGTAAGTGCATTCGCTTGAGTGAAATCCCTAAGTGGACCACGTAAGTGATTTAATACAACTCACTTAAGTTACGTGTACAGGTACGTATACCCGTAACTGTTACGGGCGTTTTATGCAACCGGGCCCTGTTGCTTAGGGGTCTCTGTTGGCAGCCTATCAACGACGCCAAAGAGCATTCTCTGCTGATATCACAACAACGGAGTTCCAGTGTCCCACCTGCTCCAGACTCTGCGCTTCCAGATTGGGTTTGCAGAGCTACCAGAGAATCCATAGATGATCACACAACACGCAGTCCACAACACACAGTCTTCAGACACGATGGACAACCACCAAACTAGCACGTTCAAAAGAGGAGTTCTTTCGAAAAATGCGCCGCATTTTATCGTCGCGCACTTCTTTCTCTAGCAAAAAAAAATAGGTTTTGTGACCTCTCCAGAACTACAATGTAAACGCAACAAAATGACACGTGTCCAAGAACATGTTTCGGGAATAATGGTGTGCATTTTTCTATATTTTGTTTGATTAGCTCCTTTAGGCACTTGATAGAGTGGTTGTATTCAAGCTGCTGGTTTAACCAAGTCCTCTTGTTTGTCTTAGATTCAATGGTCTCTCCACCGTCGTCGATGTTCTTCTGCCACGAGGCGCTGATCCCTCGCTGAGAGGGAAAAATGGGAACACCCCACTTCACTTGGCGGCGCGTGGAGGACATGAAGAGATCGTTAAAGTTCTTTTGGATCAACCGTCCGTTGAGGTTGACGCTAAAGATAATTCTGGAAAAACTGCTCTTCATTTTGCCTGCAGCGAAGGTCACAGAAAGGTTTGTCAAATCTTGTTGAACTTCGGAGCGGACGTAAAAGCGATTTCAGCGGACAAGACAACTCCGCTTCACAGTGCCATTTTTAATGGACATTCAGAGGTTGCGATGATGATTTTGAAGCGAGGTTAGAGGTTACTGATTTAACAGTAATTGCAGTGATTCCTTCGGAGTGTAAAGAGTCCTTATTTATTCATTTATTTATTATCGAACGATCCCCTGTGGGTCATTAAATTTAGGTCTTCCTAAATCTGGAAGCGTCTCACTGTAATGCAAGTCCTCTGTGAAATTCTGGCGATGACAGATAAATGCTGACTGCTAATTTGCTGGATAGCACACATTTCACTTAAACGTTCAATTATGCACTACTAAAAACTTTATGGAGACATTGCCTGATCGTATCAACCTGCTTATCTGGCGGTAAGAGAATAGGTTAGTGCTTTAGCCGCCGCGCGTACATGGTAGCTAGCCGCGACGTTTTTTGTCTGCTGCAGGATCTCAGTTTGACTCCTCCCTATTTTCTCGCTGCTTTATACCCCAAACAAAAACAGCAACAGCATTCATAGAAAGAAGCAGTAGCGCAGATAAATCCCGCCACCTACCTAGGCTAGTGTAAACATAGTGAGATTGTAGAGAGAACAGCGCCTGGGGACCAGAATCCTAAAGGTCTTCTTTACTCGTAATAACGGGGTGATCGTATGGTGGAGGTGCACTATGTAAGTGAATTCTCCTCTTAACTTACTGTCATTGTTTTTGTACTTTACAGCTGCCGACAGAGATGTAGATACTAACGAGAAAGAACTTGTGGGAACTTCTGACTTACAGGACACCACAGTCTTGCACATGGCCGCATGGAATAATGACGTCAAGACTGCTGAGTTATGCCTTGAGAAAGGCGCTGATGTCGACTATCTTAAGTGTGGCTCGGTCACTGCCCTTCACATAGCGGCAATGAAAGGAAATCTTGAGGTGGCGGATTTGCTTATTTCAAGAGGTGCTGATGTGAACAAGAAAGACGGGAACTCCAAAACACCTCTCCACAGGTTAATTCAATTTGCATTGAATAAAGATTGTTCAGACTAAGCAATATTGAATACTTTAAGTGTTGAATAAACGTTCCATAGAATTTTGCCCATAGTCTAGAAAAATAGAAAAAAAAAGGCTAAACTAGAAGCATTTTGGTGGTAACGTTGTGGGTGACATAAATGTTTGTCAGGTAGTCGCACGTGAAACAAATCGAACAAACGCAAATTTTCGTTCTAGGTCTCAAGAAAAATGATTATTTAATCAGTGAAGAACATTCTTCTTTCCAGATGCATGTCGGTTAATTGGCAAATCAATGTTCCCGGCATGACAATACTAATGTTCTAGTTTTGCAGGACCTCAAAAGTATCTCCATGTTGTCTTCTTAATTACCAGTCTGGAACTGAAAAAGAAAAAAAACAGCGTTTCGTAAATTTTATGCTTCAATCACTCAACTAACCCTTTGATTATCGTTTCCATGTAGGGCCGCTATGTTTAACCAGTTAAACCTTATTGAATTTCTTGTGGAAAAGGAGGCAAAAATTAATGCTCGTGACAGTGAAGGACGTTCTCCTTTCTTGAATGCTGTTGCTGCTGGGCACGTGGACTGCGCCCGAGTGCTTCTCAAAATTGGAGCTGATTTGAGCGCAGCGGACTTGCATATGAAAACTTGTCTTCATATTGCAGTAGAGAACGAGCACTTAGAGATGCTATCAATGCTTTTGGAAAGTCGTGCGGGGGTAAGCTGTTTAAACAGAGGAGATTTGAAGGATAGAGTTCCTCTGCACTACGCAGCGAAGACGAGAGACATCAAGGTAACGTTGGAACGGAACTGTTAGAAAGCAATTCAACAGCACTTTTTAATCTTTTTTTTACCTTTACATAGAAGTGACTATAATAGAGTCGAACCTCTATAAAAGGGCGTTCTATAAGCCACCACCATTTTCCTCTCTTTTTACCAGAGTCCAGGCGGAGAAAAGTTTCAGTAAATCACCGTAAACAGTACCTCTATAAAGCAGCCACCTGTTCTTTCTTCGAGGCTAACCGCTTAATAGAGATATCTTTAATAGAGGTTCGCCGTACTGTATTTAAGGCAGAACGTGAAATTCGTTCGAAAGAATACTTTTCCCGGCTAACTGGTTAATGAATCGCAAGTCATAGCTATTTTCCAAATGTACACCTTCCCGACATCAGGGAAGGTAGTCTGGTAGTCTGACTCTCTCATGTTTGCAAATGGTGGTGGCGGACGGGAATGCCATTTATGTGATAGGGAGCCTACATCAGTCAGTTTTTTTCTAGAACAGACATTCTTAGGCATAGACCATCTTTACAGCTGTACACTTCAGGGAGGTGTCCATTGAGAAAGAGTTGACTGTATTTTAAAACAGTGGAACTCACTCTATATTAGGCGTTTTGTGTTGAGTGATGTACTGACAAGTTTGTCCGTCGATACTCTAGGAACTTACCGATAGATGGCAGCTTGACCCTTTAAGCTCCAGTATCTCTGCACTTTTCTTTATACATTCTTGCGGTACTGCTCGAGAAAGTTTCTTCAAACATCAAGACATTTCATCTCGGGACCTGTAGTGTTGTTGTTGGGAGAAATTGGTAGCTGTTCACTATTGGAGCTTAAAGAATTAATGACAGGCCGCTTAATAGAGATTCGGCTGTAAATGCATTAAAAACAATAAATGACACTGACTCTGGCATACGGATTCTTGTTTGTAGATTTTAGAGCTCGTCTTATCCAAGCAGAAGCGCTTGGGCTTCAATGATGAGAGTAACAAGACACCGCTTCACCTTGCAGCAGAAAAGGCCTCATCCAAACACGTCGAAGCTCTGGCAAAGCGCATGTCTGAAGTAAATGCGCGAGACGATCTTGGCCGAACGCCATTGCACAGCGCTGCAAGGAAAGGGCAGAGGCAAGAGATATATTCTAGAATATTCTCATTTTTCTTCACAGTTATCGCTGTTTTTCCATTATGGGTGAAAGTGATCTTTGTTACTTGTTTGTATGCAGAGTGGACCGTAGATCAAAGATGTCCTCACAGCAAGCCATAGTGTCGTAAAACTTGGAAACTCGAACCTCAAAAATTTTGTGCGACTATTAAGTCGTCCTTCTGTTTTGAAAGAATGATTAAAATCGATCACGATTACTCGAATAGATAAATTTTATGTTTTGATTGCCTCCTGAAATACCACGTAAGATTGCTTTTATCCCATCAATCCTAAAGCGCTTGAAAAGATGGCGGGTATCGTGAATAAGGTTTATTCCGTGAGACAATTACCATTTCCATCTTTCCTTAATTCTATTCACCATTCGCATATCCCCCATTATGCACTTTGCTTAACCCCCCCGGCCAAAAAAGCATAAACTTTGCTTTTCATTTATGGACTTCCTTTTTTTAAGGGGGGAGGAGAGAGCAAGGTGTGCTATGGGAGATTGCAAGTGGCGAATAAGGGAATCCAAGACGGTTTTACAATGCTACCTACATTTTGCATTTGTTTTCCTTTGTAATAGGAAATCCTGTCTGGTACTTCTTAGCATGGGAGCTGAGGTCGACAGCAGGGATAACAAGTTTCGAACACCTCTGATGTGGGCTTCTCAGGGAAACCACACAAAATGTGCCGATGTTCTTCTTGACTCCAAAGCTTCTGCTGACCTACAGGATGTCGGTGGTGATACTGCTTTGCATGTAGCTTGTGGTCAGGGTCATCCAGCTATTGTGACTTTACTGTTGGACCATGGTGCATCTTCAACATTGAGAAATAAACAAGGTCTTGCTTGTTTGGAAGTTGCCGCGAACGCAGGATCGTGTCATGCTGCCATGGCGATTGCCAAACACGAAAGGTTAGCAGAGTAATTTTCACTCAGTAATAATTAGCTTAAACCAACACGATAACAATAACGTTACTACAAATTGCAAACATATTATCCCACCGTTAATTTTGTAATACCTGCTTGAAACCCCACCTCTCCCCACACCCCAAACAAACAAAGAAATGGGTTTGAAGCCCATGAAAGATTCTTTCCACAAAAGTGGTGGAAAGGAGACTCGTTATAACTTAACAGATGGTAATCCAAAGGAGTTTTCGAAAGGACAATAAAATAATTGGAAATACACGACACAAACAAGGATCGCTATTTTCATTTTCAATTCCTGAAATAAAAGCGTCGCGTTTGTTATTGGTTGGTTTTTCGTCTCTCGATGAAAAGAAGCGACCTACATTCTTTACGTCAGTATACAGATAGAAAATCATGTTTGCCAAGTCTGGACCGTTGGAGAGTCCACGTTATGTAACACTCCTAATTAAACAATTTATAATGTTTTTTATGAATACTTCATAATATATTGTGGGGAGAGATGTCGAATGTCAAGTCATTTTATTTGTTTTTACCTGCAACTTTTTAAGGTGGAAGGAACTTGAGCAATATCAAACATCAAACGGTAAAACCGCAATCTCACTCCTGGTTGAAAACTTCCCTGAAGCAGCTGAAGTTGTTCTTAATCAGTGCGTACGTTGCTCGGACCATCTCAACCCAGCCGACCCAGACTACGCTGTAACTTATGACTTCAAGCACCTAGATCCTGGTCCAGATGCTGACATGTCGAGTGGAAGGTTTTCTACAGTTCAGGTGATGATAAAGCACAAGCGTGAACGACTTCTTCTACATCCTCTTACGCTGAAATTTAATGAACGAAAGTGGCAGAGTTTAGGAAGATATGTCTTCTTGTTCGACCTTGTCACTTATCTCTTGCTTATGGCGCTCTTTACCGAATTTATTGTCCGTCAAAGGAGACGCCAGACCTTCAGATCCCCGGAGCGTGTGCCACCAAAGCGCAATGGCACTCGAGGAGTTCTCATCAAGCAAAAACCCTCAGATATTTACAACAGAGACGACGCCTTCACAGAGACCATTCCGTTTGTGATCTTGATTTTCTCCCTCCTGCACATATGCAAAGAACTGTTGCAAATCTACGTTCAGCGTTGGAACTACTTCAAGGACCTGTCTAATTACCTGGACTGGACCCTTTATATCACTACAGCATTGTTTATGGTCCCCTATGTCACGAATCCAGCCGACCTCGACGATTGGTTTGGCCGTATGCAGGATCCCCGAGTACTTTGGAACATTGGAGTTCTTGCAATCTTCGTGTGCTACACCAACATGATGCTGTTTCTCAGAAGATATCGCTTGTTTGGCACTTACATCTCAATGTATATTGAAGTGACGAAGACTGTATTCCAAGTTATGGTTGTGTTTATTTTTCTGGTTCTGGGATTTGCATTGGCTTTTTACGTCCTCTTTAAAGAACAGGTAAGTTAGTTCTCAGGTATTGTTGGCTAATCGGTTAATCTTGCGAGAAAAAACAAGAATTGTGTTATTAGTTGATTTAACTCTAAAGAAAAGATAAGAAAGAAACCATGAATTTTGGGATCGAGAAAAATGTCCCTTTTCCTTAATAGAGATTTCCCTTCAATAGAGCTTGATACAGAAGCAGATACAAAGATTACATGAACATTTTCCGGGACCAAATTTTGGTATTCTCTGAATGGAGGTGTCTCACAGGGGAGGTTCCACTGTATCAATCATATCCAGGAAGACATTTAGCAAGATGACGTCAATTCAGTTCAACTACGTACTAGTATCCTTTGCTTTGAGGGATCCGAACCCCCAAAGGTTCTCTTGGTAGAAAAATAAATAATAAGTAATTAAAAACAGTAATAATTGTTATAATTACTGTTGATCGAAGAGCATTATGACAGTTACCAAAACGTTTCTCGTTGGAACTGATGCGGGGCCAGTGTATGCCCTATTTAGCCCTCTCATGGATATTTATAGCTTCAAATAACCAAAGGTGCTAGAAACACTACGGTCTTGAAGACGCTTCACCTCCAAAACAAGAACCTGTTTTCTCCATTTTTGATTTCCTTTGTCAGTTGCTGCCTTAATGTAGGGAGAACCCGAAAATCGCGTTTTGTTGCCTGGCGAAAACGCATCGAAACCGGTGCCTTGACTTTTTAATCTTACCAATCATTTCAGGCAACCTGTGACGATGTTTGGCTCCACCCTACGTCAAGGTACTGACACAGTAAGCAGTAGAAGTCTTTTTTTTCAACGAACGCTGTTCATTGCACTAAATTGCCAAGAGTCGACTAATGCTGTAGCTCCACTGTTAGTATGCACGTACATGTAAACTGCATGAAACCCAATTCGAGCGAGCGCTCGAAACGTTAGCTTGTGAATCAAGTCTAAACTGTGGCCGATTTTGTTTATCTGCTCAGTTGGTAAAACCGCATTTTATCTCACCATTATCATTCAGATTGGATTCCATACAGTGCATCATTCCCTGCTCCGCGTGCTCGTGATGATGATTGGTGAACTGGACTTTGGATCAACCTTCATAAGCACCATTCGCCAAAAGAGTGAAGCTAACAACAATCCGTTGAATCCATTCCCTCCTTTTGGATTTTTCTTCCTTTTTTTGTGCTTGTTTTTCCTTACTATTGCTCTGATGAACCTTTTGGTAAGGAACTAGTTTGATATGTATTTTTAACAGCTGAAAGAATAGGCTGAGAAAACAGCCAACGTTTCTCGACGCCACCACTGGTTTCCCCGCGAAATGACGTCTGAGAAACGAGTACGGAAATTCTATACTGATGACCTGTCACTACCCTGATCTGGGTAGTGCTTCTAATTGGTTGAAACAGATTTCCCCCGTTGCACGACCAATCAGAAGCACTGACTAGATCTGGGAAGTGAAACGTCATTAGTATGGAATTTCTGCGCTCTTTCCTCAGACATCATTTCGCAGGGAAACCAGCCGTGGCGTCAGGAAATTTCGCAGGCTTTTTTCTGAGGCTGTTGAACAGCCGTCTGTTGTAGTTTTCTGCGCATATGTGGGATTTTGCGTTTTAAGTCAACAGAAAAATTTTCAAACTTGACTTTGGCAAGAAAAAATACTTTTCCAGCGGGTGTCGATTTCCGTAGAACTGTGTAAGCTATGTGAAATTTGTCGGAGAAATCACAGGGCATTTGTAAAGGTTCCGCACAGGACTCTCTGTGTCTTCTCAATCTAAATCTAAATGTGGTTTAGTCGGCAACATCCACGAGGGACATCACGCCCAACTGCGAAACACTTGGGATTGCAGAATAAATTTATTAATGAAGGTATGATCCTCGCAGTGGTAATACACCTTTTCACCGATACGGCGGCCATATTGAATTAATTCGATTTAAGGAGTATTATAGGATGCCCAGGGGGCATGAGCACATTTCGTTTGTATTTTCGAGCGCTTTTCGGGACATTTTTTCTTAAAGTTTTCTTAGAATAAGATTGTAATGGGAAAAAAGATCCCTGTGCCGTGTTTGGATGTAATAATGATCGCCTTTTTCTGGTTTAGTATTAGAAATATGGTGTTTCACTGTATCTTCCTCGGGAAAAGGCGATCATTATTACATCAAAACACGGCACAAGGATCTTTTTTCCACTTACAATTTTATTCTAAGAAAACTTTAAGTAAAAATGTTCGGAAAAGCGTTCGAAAATACAAACGAAATGCGCTCATACCCCCTGGGCATCCTATAATACTCTTTAAATCGAATTAATTCAATATGGCCGCTGTATCGGTAAAAAGGTCTGTTGTAATTTAAGCAATTGCAAATAAACCCGAAAAAAAGTGGCGGGACTTCAACGGGATTCCAACCCACGGCCTCTGCGTTAGCGCTGCAATGCTCTACCATTTGAGCTATGAAGGCCTTACACTGGGAGCAGGCCAATTTGTTGAGTTCATCTTTACCGTGAAAGGAATGAAATATGAAGAAGATTTGAGCAGCTGACACCGAAATACAAATTTTAAATGAAGATATGATCGTCGCAGTGGTAATTGCAATTACCACGTGTTGGTCATTACAAGTTGGTCGTTTCCTTGAAACAGCCCGCTCAAGACGATGTTAGTTAAAGCCGTAAATGTGCATTTTAATGAGAGCCGAAAGAAACTTTGCGACTACTTCGTACTCTTGTACTGCAATTGAAAAAAAAACATTTTTAATCAAGAAAAAACGAAAAAGCCGTATTTACTGGAACGTTATAGCCACGGCGCTCAGTTACCCTTAAAAGTTCTCCGATGTAGCTCTTTTTCGAAGATGATGACGTGGGGTTTAGCGAGCAAAATTCGCTGCGTTCAACAGTTCTTAATCACATGTAATGGGCGGATGCCGTCAGCGGTCCAAGAATTAAAAAATGTTAGACGAATGACGTATTTTTTTTCATATTTGGCTAGTGCTACTATTTCATAACAAGTTAAGCCAATCAGAAACGAAGAAACCGTTGTTTTTTTGTGACCAAGTCAGACGATATCCGAAGTTTGCTTTTACAAATCTTTATTTTATTGAGGTAAATTGTACCGTACAATTTTCCTGTAGGTTGGTCTGGCAGTGGGAGACACCGAGACAATGAAGAAATATGCCACGATCAAGAGACTTGGGATGCAACTAGAATACCAGTTTGAAATAGAGGAGGCGTATCCCAAATACATCATCCGAAAGGTTTACGAAAGGGTTTATGAAGAGAAGCCCAACAAGCGGCCTAGAGTCAATAGGTATACCTCATTTTGACCAAATCGTAGTAAAGCCTGGTTTTCACTAGCGCATAAACATAAGCACAAGCACATGCCTAAGCAAGTGAAAACTGGGTCGACATAAGCACAAGCACAAGAAAAACGTACAAGTTCGTTCTTCTTGTGCTCTTGCTTATGTTTACCTGGTAGCTTTGACTAGCGAAAACTGGGTCGACATAAGCACAAGCATAAGCACAAGGCCGTGGACCAATCATAGGTCACTGTGACCCCGGCAGACCTCATGCAAACAAATCAAAAGCAATATGGCGGACGCTTCGTCCGCCATCTTGTTTATCATTGGGTTGAGGAGAGCTGGTATCGAGAATTGAGTCAAATATGCTATTCTGCGCGTGCGTATGTCCTTGTGAAAACCAGGCTCTAAAAAGCGTATGTGTGTATGCTCACATAGAGAGCTCGTTTGTGAAACACTCATTTAGCTGTCACTACATATTTCCAGTCTGTTGTCCTTTGTATTACGTGTATTCTAAATATCGGTTATCATTAAGTAGCTTTGGATATTTTTATGCATTTTGCCTATAGATTATGCGTGACCACGAAATGGCTTTGGTTGCCAGGAGTTGCTGGGATACAAAGGCTTTGCCCCGCCTAATATTTGTATTAGCCATTACTGCCCTGTTGATCAGTTTTCTTGCTGAGGATAGGGTTACCGGAAATTGGAATTCTCATATTGGTGCTAACATTTAATTGAAAGGAAAATACATTTCAACTTGTTTTACTCCTTAGAATAATGGATTGGCTGCATGCAAGGTTTGCTGAAGCAGCTCCAGAACCGGTTGAGGAGGGTCAAACATCTGAATTTGCTGAACTAAAAGAAGAGATGTTAAAAAACAAGAAGAGGATCAAATCTATGATGGCCATGTTGGAGGCCCAAAACAAGCTACTCAAGAACCTTGCAGCTGTCGTCGACCCCAAATTTAAGGTTCGGGAAGATGTTGACGGTGTGAGTGGTGCAGCGCGGGCATCGTTTGAAGGCGGCATAGAAAGAGAAATTCCAAAGTAACATTTAAGCGTCTACTTTACAAGAGGGTAAAAGCTCATGGATGCTGCTTTTGAAAGTGTGTTGTGTTAAGTTCTTTGGTTGACAAAAAAAGGACTTGCACGTCTAAAGCTTACGTTTCATTCAGCATTCATAGCAGTGCTTTTGCAAGGATTAAATGTCTAATGCATTTTTGTAAAGGTAACCAGACAATAATGTGGCGAAGCTAAATATAAGTGGTTTTCTCCGCACCTACACCATTGCTTTTGGCAGGGTCGTAATTAACCACTCAGATGTTTTTGTTAAGCTACCAACAAACAGGAATACACACGTTTTATTGACAAGATTTCCTGATTTTTCTTGGCCGCCTGGCGCCATTGAATTTTGTAGAGACCCAGCAGTTTAATTTTGTGCAGTTGTCACAGACACGAGCACGTAACATAACCTTATCGAAACTAGAGTGGAAAGATACGGAGAAATGTTCTGTTGTTATTGTAACACAATTCAGCCCTCCAACCGTGGGCTCTTGGACTCTCCAGATTTAGATTCAGGGGCTCCCTTGTTGACGCCCTTGAAGATGAGGGAGTTGACCTCTGTGGTTCGACTTTTTAAACAAAGCCTTTCCGTAGGACCTTCGCATAGCTCTGATTAGTTTGTACTACTTTACAAAATAAAATCGCTTGAGTTTTACAAAGTTTATCGAAATGTGCGTTGAAAAGGTACCAAAAACGCACCACGCATATTTAACTCAATGGATCATTTGCTTTGCACAGTATTTTTAAAATAAAATCGGGCCTTCTTCTTGATTTTATTTTTTGATTTGCAACTGTTGGCGCACATAGCTTTTGATCCTGGACTTGACCTGGTTTATCCATGCTAGTACATACATGGCTTGGTAATCAATTAAACTTCGTTAACTGTCAAGGCTTCTGCCTTAAGGCGTAACATTAAATAAACATAGAAGTGAAAAAATAGTGTTCTTTAATTCTTTGGTTGATTGTTTATGTACAAAACTAGATTAAATCGCTCCAATTGTTCTACAAAAATACAAACTCTCAATACATTACCACGCAAAGTTAGCATCTTAAACAACGCAAAGCATATTGTACAGATACATAGTATTGCTCTTGTTAAAAGCTGTGAAGCAGTACCTCTGCGTTACTTTGCAAAGACTGAGGTGGTAATGTTACTCTGCACTGCTGTATTAAATTCATGAGTAAATCTTTCGAGGCGTACATTAAAGCGTGCTTAGATTGTCTGAAAAAGCTGACGGAAGAAGTTTTTGTAAAAAACGTTGCCTATTGTTTTTAAGTCTTTATTTTGATTCAAAAAATTAATAAATCTGGCCGAAATAACTTACTGTTATTTGAAAACAACTACTAGTCAGACGTAATATGGTAAGCCACAAGGGCGCTTGCCGCTTGGTATTTCCTTTTGTCCAGGGATGCTCACTATTATGCAAAAATTACCCTGGTAGAAATCATGTGCGTAAACATAAAACTGTGAAATTTTTGTCGGGAGAACGACCCGCCACAAAGTATGTTCAAATCAGCTAAACAGACTAACAAGAGTAGAAAAATTGCACCACTCCGAATCACAGCTCTGATTTTCTGAAACTTCCAACGGAATGGCGCAAAACATTTGATTTTTCAACTGGAATTTCCAGTTTTCCGATGTAAATGGTAAGTACCCAGGTGTTAATTTCTTCCTTGACCATAATAAAGGCATCCATCCTATACGCAACGCGCCTGGTATCTTGGCAAGAGGGTATTGTACCCTTAATCTATGATGCGTGATGCCCTGCGCTCTCTGTTTTCTGCGGTTCAACGACACCAGGGATGAGGCGACGACCCTCTGCTCGTCTCCTTCTTCGTGTTCGGGTGAATAACATCCGTTACTAATGCGGGACATTGCGAACATGGCAAAATTTCAAGTAATTTATAACGAATCTCCTGGGTTCTTGACTAATTTAATTTCCCACGGTTTAAACTGTTCTCTTGTTCAGACTGTTTTTTTTTTCTTTTCAATCACAGTTTAGGTCGCTGTCGTTTTGGGAATTGTCTCACTGTCTTTTGACTCCTGTCCATCGAGGAAGTCTGGTGATATAGTTAACAGGTCTTCTAAACTGGACGATCTATCATCATTAAACTTCATCGCGGCTTTTGGTTCAATCTTCAGAACTTATCCTCTCAATAACATGTTCTGCGTCGCGACAACATTCACCAAAGTTTTGCTGCGGTTTTTAGTTTTATCGAGTTGTTTTCTAACCTCACTGTACTCCCACCTATTAGAATCCTCCTCGTCAGCTGGAAGAGTTAAAGTCCAGCTTTATAGACCCTCTCATTGCAATACAAGCCAAAAATCTGCGAGGAAAAAAAAAAGAAAAGAAAAAGGAAGTACAAAGAATGAAGAGCAATTGCTTTCAGGGTAACTACAGATGAGTTTCTTATACTTACAACAGCATGCTACGAATTTTTCTGTATTAAACCATCATGCCAACATTATAACCTCGGTTGATGTCTGAGTATCAAAAGGTACTAAAGGCCTTTCCAGTACACGATGGCGCGTCATTTTTCTGCTTCTGCTGTTACTACTACTACTACTTAGTAAAAAACGCCCACTCAATTTGGCGAGAAAAATAATTTTGCCTGAAACTCTATCTGAGTTCCTTTTTACCGGCTAAATGTTGCTGAATTACCATGCGACCGGTTAATATGCTAGCCAAACACGAAAGGTTAGGAGAGAAATTATCACTCAGTATTAATTAGTTTAAACCATTACCAGATACAAACAAACAGGAATACACACGTTTTAGTGTCAAAATTGCCTGATTTTTCTAGACCGTTTAGCGCCATGGAGTTTTGTAGAAGCCCAGCAGTTTAATTTTGTACAGTTGTAATAGACACGAGCACGTAACGTTGCATTACTTTACTAAAAGATAAAATTGGATTTTTTGTAGAGTAAAAGGGTCGAGACATAGGTTTTGATCTTGGACTTGACAAGGACCAGCAATGCCTGTACATAAATTATACTCATACATGAACATGACTTGGTAAGCAATTAAACTTATAATAATTAATAATGATAAATGTCATAAATGTCATTGTCTAGGTTGTTCCAGTCCTTTTGTCCAGATCGAGGGAAGTAAGTCGACTACACGTACCTTAACTTGTGGGGTTCCTCAAGCGTCGGTCTTGGGTCCACTGCTATATGTATTATACACAGCGCCTGTTGCTGACATCATTAAGTCTCATAATCTACAGTACCTCTTCTATGCTGACGTTTCACAATTATACGTCACCTTTAAGACCAACTGTGATGTTGATGCTGGCCTGTCCAGGTCAAGGGTTGAACACTGTGTTGCAGATATCGACAGATGGATGACTGATAATAAGCTAAAGCTCAACGAGTTTAAATCAGAGCCACTGGTTATAAGCTCCAAGTATCGATCACGGCCAATGATCACTTCGGCTTCAGGTTCAATCTTCAGAACTAATCTTGTCAGTAAAATGTTTTGCGTCTCGACGACATTCACCAAAGTTTTGCTGCGGTTTTTAGTTTCTAACTTCACTGTACTCAGATCCATTAGAATCCTCCTCGTCGGTCGGAAGACCAAAGTCCAGCTTTGTAGACCTTCTGATTCCAATACGAGCCAAAAATCTGCGAGGAAAACAAAGGGAAAAGGAAAAAAGAAAGACAAGGAGTAATAAAGAAAACTTACACTCAAAACAGCATGCTACGCATTTATCTGTAACCTTGCTGGAAACATTATAACCAACAATCCTGGACAAAGTCTTGGAACAATTTTTATTTGCATTTGTTTCAAGGGCTTTTGTCAATTCACAAATGCCCAACCCCTCTCCCCATCCAACAACCTTAGACGCTTGTATCCAGACGTTTCCCGGCGAGTTTCAACATTGTATGGGCTGGGAGAGGGACGGGAATGCAACCAATTTTGGAAAAAGACGCGCTGTTTTATGAGGGCACCTAGAAATTACAGAAACTATGAAAACTGAATTACTAACGACGCTTGTCCAGGATTGTAGGTTGATGTCCATAAGAGTAATAAACGCCTTTACACGATGGCGTTACATTAATCCACTGCTTCTACCAGGAACCATTCGGTTTTGGAAATCCCCACTAGGTTGAACTGAAAATTCGCTAATTTGCACAAGAAAGCAAAACCCTGAAGAATTCTGGTAGTAGAGGTATATTTACATAATCGTGTAAATGGCCACTTCCTGATGGTGAGGGTCTTATGGTTTAATATGATTTTTTATTCACTGGCTAAAACGCTACTACTCTACTTAGATTATACAAGAGACTAATTTTTGTGCAAACTTGGCACTGCATGTGTTGTAAATTGTATGCTATAAATTCATAAATGGTCTTTGAAGTAGTGGATTGACAGACCTGCATGTTCATGGAAGAGATCCCCTTTACTTTGGGTTAAGTTGCTTATGGGAGAGTTGACAGTTTTTAATCCGTTTTTGTCTATTGCTTCTTTCTTGCATTTGTTCTACGCCACTACGTTGTTATTGCGTTACTTTCAGCGGTATCTAGCGCGCGCATGCGCCCGCCGCTCGTCTTTGTAATTCCATGCGGTTCTCGTTCGGTCTTCAATAAACCTTCGTTAAGACACAGTTTGTTCCTTATTGGCGTGGTGGCAGCGGCTTTTACCCACGTACGGTGGACCCTAACACAAGTGTGGTCGTCTGGAACCTGTGACCCTTATTTTCACGAAGTGCGAAGATCAACAAATCAACGTGAATTCGCCGTAACCGCTCGTGTAGGACAACCAACATGGCCGCCGCTCCCAGGGCGCCTAAACAATGGCAGCTTACGAAAAACGAGACCATCACCTCGTACGAAAGTTGGAGGCAAAACTTAGTCTACATCTTATCCCTGGACAAGAACTTTGTCCCATTTTTAGAGGCCACATGGCAAAAGCAAACCGCCGCCAACCCTCGAAGAGGCCTTACGAATGATGGCACGTCTGTACCTGAGGCACAACGACTTACTGCCGCTCAGAAAAATGCCCACCTGGATCTTCTGCTCGGACAGATTGCCAATTTTTGCCCCGTGATCTCCAGGAACTCCATAGTAAAGCACTCTACCTCTCTGAATGACATTTGGCAGAAAATTCGCCAGCATTTTGGGTTCCAGTCCTCCGGAGCCCATTTCCTCGACCTTGCAAGCATCAGCCTTCAAACTGCTGAGCGACCAGAGGACTTATTCCAACGCCTCATGGCCTTCTTCGAAGACAACCTCCTTGCAGTTAATGGTGGCTTAACCCACCACGGTGAGCAGGTGACCGCAGATGAAGATCTTTCCCCATCGCTTGAGAACACTATAGTAGTTCTGTGGCTGCAGCTGATCCACCCTGGCCTACCATTACTGGTAAAGCAGAAGTATGGTTCTGAGTTGCGTAACAAGACCCTTGCCTCACTCAAGCCAGAGATCTCACAAGCTCTCAGTTCCCTCCTTGATGAACTACGCTCCATAGAGGACACCAAAGCCATGCGTATTAGCAATGTCAACCCCAGACGCACCTCTAATGGCGGACAGGGCCAACCACGCCGCCGTCCATTTGTATCTTGTATTCTCTGCAAAACCGCTGGACGCCCTCACAACACCCATGATCTAATGGAGTGCCGTTACCTGCCTGATCGTGACAGGAGACCATTGGCCCGCTCACGTCTTATAAACGACGATCCTGATGAGTTTGCGACCGGCGACTGTGGCCCTTATGATGAGTGTTGCGATCATGCCCTCCCGCCAGAGCACAGTGATGTACCTACTGCACCTACTGCACTCCGTGTCAGCATCATTCAATCACCTGTTCTCAACACCTTTTACCACGAGCACCCCGTGCAGCTCACCCTTGATACTGGCGCCACGTCTAACATGGTTCGTGCCTCGGCCGCTAAGTTATATGGCCTACCTGTTACC